CCTGAAGGGGAGGTGGCCCCATGGGGAAGCGCCTACCATCTGTGCGCAAGATCTGAACTTCACTCCCGACAGTGGGGGCGGGGGGGGGGGGGAGACGTGGGCACAGACTGGAATGACAGGGGACATCTAGGCCACAGGAGGCTGGAAAGGTGAGGGTCAGTAGAGGCCGCTGGGAACCCCCACCCCGCCCTGCACTGTCCCTCGTGGCCAACACCCTGCATTCGCGCCGTTGCTTCCTGGAGCCCCAGGAAACCGGTGGAGACTCTCACTGGGGGGGTCCCCTGGGTTGCAGCCAGGAATCCCGGGTGCCGTGTGCCCTGAGCTGCCCCTTCCACCCTGGGGGGCCTCAGCAGAACCTCCCGTGTTTGTTTTTGGGTCCTACGTGGCGGTGCTCAGGGCTGACTCCTGGCTCTGCACTCGGGGGTCCTGGTGGGGCTCAGGGCACCATATGAGGTGACGGGGCTCAAACCCTGGGTGGCCGTGTACAGGTGCTATACCACCTGCTGCTCCCCTTTTATTTCTCCCCTGCAGAACCTGAAGGGACCCTGGGAGCCACATGGTGGGCGCCCAGCCTGGGTCCATCCATCCCTGCTGCCCCATGGGAGTGTGGACGGGGGGGGGTGGCGGGGCAGAGGCAGCGCCCCTCCTGTGGGCATGGAGATGGATGCAGGGAGCAGGGGTAGGTGGGGAGGGGCTCTTCTCCCTCTGCCCCGGCACCCCAAAGTGCAGCCTGCAGGCCTGGCAAGGGGGCAGGAGGTGGTATGCAGACCCGAAATACCTCTGGGCACAGGCTGGAAGTGGCGGGGAGGCAGGGAGGCGGCTGCGTCAGGCCAGGCCCCTGACAGGGGAGCAGCTGGGAGGCTGTGCGGGGTGGCGGGAGCATGTTTGGGGCCTGAGTCACGGGCCCTGGGCCGGGGCCAGCCCAGATCCATACACAGTCGCGTTCCTGAGACGGGGCGCGGGCACCAAATACGGCCCTGACTGCTGGGGCCGGCACGCAGCCGCGGGCGCTGGAGGGACCCCCTCCCCCCAGAGCCAGACCTCCCAGCACCCTGGGGGCCGCCCCAACTGGCAGCCTGAGGTTCATCCTGGGCGAAACATCCTCAGGACCAAAATAGCCTACCCATGGGGAGCCGGGGATGCCGCTCCCGACTGCCAGCGGCTCTGCCACTTGGCCCTGGCGAGGGTCCCAGGCAGCTCACCCAGCCCACTTCCTCTCCCTGTTGAATCATTCATCCCTTCCATCCATCCACTCACCCTTCCTTCCTTCCTTCCTTCCATCCTTCCATCCATCCATCTATCCATCCACCCCTCCCTCCCCATCCATCCATCCATCCATCCACTCATCCATCCCTCCTCCCATCCATCTTTCCATCCATTCGCCCCTCCCCCATCCATCCATCCATCCATCCATCCATCCATTCATTCATTCATTCACTCATTCCACCCATCCATCCATTCGCTGACCGGTCATCCACTGATCTGCTCATCAACTGTTAAATCACTCGTGTGGCTCCTTCCCGCCCCTCCCCCAGACCCTTGTCCATCTGCTGACCCCCTCACCCACTGTTGCCCGGCCGCATTACCAGTAGCCAGCACCCTCCTAGGCACCTGGAAGAGCATGCACCAAAAATTACCCAGGGATCACGTTCCAGAGGCATCACGGTGGCAGACCGTGCCGAAGCGCACAGCATGTGAGATGGGTGCTCAGAGGATCGGGTCAGACTCCGCAGGACGGGGGAGATGCCATTCTAGGGGGACTGAATAGAATGGGTCCCCCTAGAATGCGGGCATGGGGGGAGTTTGGTGTTGCACTTAGCAGTGCTGGGGGGACCGGGCAGTGCCCGAGGTTGGACCTGGGGCTCCTGCCTGCAGACCCCCATCTCCCCAGCCAAGGACGAGTTTTGAGCAGGAATGGGGGCTGAGACCGGTGACCATCTGCAGATGGAGGCTTCCCGCCGGCACCGCGGGTGTGAAGGGCTGACAGCTGAAGTGAGAGGGGCCAAGACAGTCGGGGAGGGAGGCAGGGACTAAACTGTGATGTGGGGCTGGTGGGGGTCTGGGATCTGGCTTATCTGGGCATTTGGGGGGAATCCAGGAGATACTTCCAGGGCCCAGGGGCCACCCTGGCAGTTCTCAGCCAATCAGACCATTGGTTCAAAAGAAGGCCTGCGACAGGGCCTAGAGCAGGATAGCACAGCGGGAAGGGCGTTTGCCTTGCACGCGGCCGACCTGGGTTCGATTCCCAGCATCCCATATGGTCCCCAGGGGTAATTCCTGAGTGCAGAGCCAGGAGGAACCCTTGTGCATCGCTGGGGGTGACTCAAAAAGCAAAAAAAAAAGCCTGTGGTTTCCTGTGCCCTGCAGGACTGGGGTGCCCAGGCCACCCCGGGGGTGGTGGAGCCCTCCAGAGCTGTGCCCGGCAATGCCCAGAGCACCACAAGGATCCGGGGACTGAGCCCTGGCCACAAGCAGCTGTGCTATATCCTGACACCTGACTTGTGCTTATTGTGGGTTATTTGTGGGCTATCTCTACCTGGCTCAGGGGTGACTCCTGGCTTCTGTGCTCCGGGATCACTCCTGGAAGTGCTCAGGGAGCACCATATGGGATGCTGGGAATTGAATCCGGGTCAGCTGTGTGCAAGGCCAGCGCCTTCCCCACCAGACTGTCTCTCTGGCCTTGAGTTCTGTTTTGAAAGTGTCCCTCTGGGCACCGTGTGAATGAGTTAAGGAGGGGGTGAGAGGCAGAGGGACCAGGGCTCAGTCCCTTCACTCCCCGGGAGCCCCTCGACTTCACTTCCGCCCCCTCTTGTCACTTCTGCTTGTCTGTTTTCAGGCAGTTCCCTGCATGCTTGGGGGCCCTCCAGCGTTGGCTAAATCTCTTTCCAGGGCCTTGCTGTGCCTCCCGAGTGGACAGGTCAGCGGGCAGTGAGCCTGGGCGTGTCTCACTGTCTTGCCTTTGTTTGCAGATGGCAGCGCCGGCACCGGAAGCCCGCGGACTGACCACCTGGGAGCTGGTGGAGAAGCTTGGCCGCTGAGACGGGGTGTGCCCACAGGCGCCCCGTCCCGCCCCGTCGCCATGGGACTCCCAGGCTGGTCAGTGTCCAGGCAATGACACCGTGGCCGGGGTTCCCCACCCTCCAACTGGGGGAGAATAGTGCCAGGGCCCGAAGCTGTACCCCACCCCACCCCCACTTCCACCCCCAGTTTCCCCAACGTCCAAGGCAGAATGTTTCCACCCGGCATGGGGGGATGATTCTGCTGACAGTGGACACCACACCGTCCACTCCCCCCCCACACACACACACCCGGGCATAGGGGCACTTGCTCTGTATACCCCCTGTCCCCGCCGTAGGATGGAGGGAGGGTCGCAGGGCAGAGGTCGGGTTCCAAGCGAGAATGAGGCTGGAGAGTGAACACCATGGGGAAGGCACTTGCCTTGCATGCTCCTGACCCAGGTTTGATTCCCGACACCGCCTGGGGGCCCCTGAGCACCACTGAGCACTGCTGGGCGCGAGCCCAGGACAGACACACACAGTAAGGTCTGAGTGACGGCCTCAGAGCGGGCAGTGAGGCAGTGACCCTAGCCCAGCAGCTCAAAGCACTGCCCGGGGACCGAGGTGGGTTTTGAGTGTCCCACCGGGTCACTCAGTCTAGCTCCTGGGGATAACACCCACACCTGTCCCCTTGCTCTCCATAGCTGGTCCAGTGGGCTTCCCCGGGGACTGAGGGTCCCCGAGGCTCCAGACCCCCCTCCCTGCCCCCTCCTCATCTGCACCTGCACGTGTGGAAGTGGGAACTGGGGGTGCAGGGGGGCCATCTTACACCCAGTAGCCACATCTGCCCCCCCCCCAGAGCAACCCAGGGCCTGCTGGCCCCCGAAAGCCCCCACCCACAGCCTCCAGAACCAAGATGTGAGCGGGTGATGTCTGAGCCCGGGCTGCCAGGCTGGCGGTGAGGGAGAAGGCTCAGACCTGTCTGGTGCCCAGCACATTACCCGGGCACTGCCCAGTCCTTGGGGCGTTCATGGGTGTGTCCCAAAAAGGGACCCTGGGGACAGAGAGCCCAGAGATGGTGCTTGCCTTGCATGCAGCCAAACTGTGTTCAGTCCCAGCACCCCAGAGTATTGCCAGGAGTCATCCCTGAGCACTGCCGGGTGTGCCCCCAAAAACAAAATAAGAAACTTGGAAGGGCCTGAGTAATAGTACAGCAGGGTAAGTCGTTTGCGTTGCACAAGGTTTGATCCCCAGCACCCTAATGGTCCCCAAAACCAGCCAGGAGTGATCCCGGAGTACCACCAGGTGTGGTCAACCCCCCAAAAATAATAAAAAAATAATAAAGTCAGAGGGGCCAGAGCCATAGTACAGTGGGTAGGGCGTTTGCCATGCATGTGGCTGACCCAGGTTTGATCCCTGGCACCCCATATGGTCCCCAGAACTGACCAGGAGTGACCCCTGAGCACTGACCATTGTGGCCCCCAAGCCAAAAAAGAATAATAAATTAATTTTTAAAACTTTACAATAGAGGGGCTGGAGCGATAGCACAGCAGGGAGGGCGTTTGCCCTGCACGCAGCCAACCCGGGTTCAATTCCCAGAATCCCATAGGATCCCCCAAGCACCGCCAGGAGTAATTCCTGAGTGCAGAGCCAGGAGTAACACATGTGCATCGCCAGCTGTGACCCAAAAAGAAAGAAAAAAAAAAAGGCCCTGGGGCTGGAGAGATAGCACACCGAGTAGGGCGTTAAGCGTTTGCCTTGCACGCGCTCGACCCAGGTTCGATTCCCAGCGTCCCAAATGGTCCCCTGAGCACCGCCAGGGGTGACTCCTGAGTGCAGAGCCAGGAGGAACCCCTGAGCATCGCCGGCTGTGACCCAAAAAGCCAAAACAAAACAAAACAAAAAAAAAAAAAAACAACCCGGCCTCTCTCCCAGCGCAGGGCTTGCTTGTCTCTTGCAGACCCGCCGCTTGCTGCCCAGGCCCCGGCCTCACCCGCGGGGGACCATGCCCGGGGTCCCCGAGCGCCTGGTGCGCGCGCTCGGGGGCGCGTCGCGACAGCGCCTCTGCGCGCTGCTCCTCGTCAGCTTCAAGTTCACCTTCGTGGTCTCCCTCCTGCTCTACTGGCACCTGGCGGGGGACCCCCGGGCCGGGGGCCGGAGCCCGCCCGCCGCCGCCGTGCCCTGCCCGCGCCTGGAGCCGGCCCGCGCGCCCCGCGGTGCGCCCTCGCCGCCGGGGAACATCTTCTTCTTGGAGACGTCGGAGCGCACCGACCCGCCGTCGCTGTTCCTGTGCTCGGTGGAGTCGGCGGCGCGCGCGCACCCGGACTCGCAGGTGCTGGTGCTGATGAAGGGGCTGCCGCGGGGCAACGCGTCGCGGCCGCGCCACCGGGGGCTGTCGCTGCTCGGCTGCTTCCCCAACGTGCAGCTGCGGCCGCTGGACCTGGACGCGCTGTTCCGGGGCACCCCGCTGGCGCCCTGGTACGCGGCGGTGCAGCGGCGCTGGGAGCCCTACCTGCTGCCCGTGCTGTCGGACGCCTCGCGCATCGCCCTGCTCTGGAAGTTCGGCGGCGTCTACCTGGACACCGACTTCATCGTGCTGCGCAGCCTGGGCAACCTGACCAACGCGCTGGGCGCGCAGTCCCGCTACGTGCTCAACGGCGCCTTCCTGGCCTTCGAGCGGCGCCACGAGTTCCTGGCGCTGTGCATGCGCGACTTCGTGGCCCACTACAACGGCTGGGTGTGGGGCCACCAGGGCCCGCAGCTGCTCACGCGCGTCTTCAAGCAGTGGTGCGCCATCCGCAGCCTGCGCGAGCGCCGCGCCTGCCGCGGGGTCACCGCGCTGCCCTGCGAGGCCTTCTACCCGGTGCCCTGGCAGAGCTGGCAGCGCTACTTCGAGGACGTGCGGCCCGAGGAGCTGCAGCAGCTGACGCGCGCCACCTACGCCGTGCACGTGTGGAACAAGAAGAGCCACGGCCGCCGGCTGGACGCCACGTCCCCGGCGCTGCTGGCGCAGCTGCACGCGCGCTACTGCCCCACCACGCACCAGGCCATGAAGATGTACCTGTGAGGGGCGCGCCGGCCCTCTGGTGCCCGGGGGCTGCAGGCCAGGCTGGGGCGCCACCCCCCCCCCCCAGGTGTCCGCGAGGGATGTTGCGCAGGTCCTGGGCTCCGCTCCCTTCCAGAGGCTGCCGGGAGGCCCCCTTGGCCAGCTCCGACCCAGGGGAGGTCTCAGACCGGCCAGCAGGAACCCCGAGAATCCTGGGGAGTGGATGTCCAGGCCCCGGGCAGTGATACCCCAGCACCTCTGTGACATCTCAGGGAGGTGGAAGGATGAGGAGGCAGCTGGGGAGCACAGGGTGCAAAGCCCACCTCCCCAGCACCGGAGGTGGGCATTAACCACACTCTGGGGGTGGAGCAATAGCACAGCGGGGAGGGCGTTTGCCTGGCACGCGGCCAACCCGGGTTCCATTCCCAGCATCCCAAAGGGACCCCGAGCACCGCCAGGAGTGATTCCTGAGTGCAGAGCCAGGAGGAACCCCTGAGCATCGCCGGGTGTGACCCAAAAAGCAAAAATCAAAAAAAAAAACCCAGGCCACTGACCCAGCAAGCACCCCCACCCCCTACACACATCCCCTCGTCCCCCCTCCCCACGGAGTAACAGTGCCAGGCAGGGGACCTGGGGCTCAGGAAAAGCATTAAGGGGAAATGCCACCCCCTCCCGTGGTAAGCGTCTGAGAATGATGAACGCAGGGAGGGCTGGAGAGATAGGACAGCGGGGAGGGCAGCGTTTGCCTGGCACGTCGCCGACCCAGGTTGGATCCCCGGAATCCCGTATGGTCCCCCAAGCCCCGCCAGGAGTGATCCTTGAGTGCAGAGCCGGGAGTAACCCCCAAACAAAAAATAATAAAGAGTCCCTCTACGTTGGAGTTCTCTGTGGTGAACGAAGCCCTTCCCTTCAGCCTCCTGACTGGCCCCCGTCTGCGGGGAGGGTGGGGGGCACCTGCCCTCTCCCCGAACCCACACCCCGCGCCCCCCATGTCCAGCTCAGGGCTCTGCTGAACTGACAGCCAGGTTGGGGGGTCCACCTCGCGCCCCCCTCTTGTGAGCACCAGAGCTTCCGGGCACCCTCCTGGGCTTCGGAATTCTGGCCCCTTCTCTGCAAAGACCTTGAAGGGGAGCCCCAGGTCTGGCCCTGCAGGACTCGGGGTTCTGGAGGGAGGAACCTCACGTCACTTTCCTGAGGTTCCCACCAGCCCTTGCAGAGCCGGGGGCCCAGGACACCAGCTCGGCACCTCCGTTCTCTGGGCAGCTCTGTACAGAGAGCCAGACAGCTGCTCAGCCTGAGGGTCAGGCCGGGCACGCCTCTGCAGGGGGGCAGGGAGGGGGTGCAGGCTGGCCCTGTGCTGGAAGCAGGTTCCAGAAAAAAGGCGTGGCCCCAGACTGTCCCCAGCATCCTGTCAGCCCGGGCCCCTCTGAGCCTGACAGCCCGCTCCTCAGCTGGAGGAAGTGAGAGAGGGAAGAGGGGCTGAAGTTTGGGTGATTCTTTCCATCCCTGAAGCCCAAGCCTGGCGTGGGGCGGCCTCCTGGGGGGTCTCCAAGCTGATTCATCTCCAGGCTGGGCCTCAGCGCCCCTTCCCTGCCCTCCCCCCTCCCCCCAAGTCCACACCGCGGCCTGAGTCTCTCGGCCCGGCTGTGCCCAGTGCAGCCCCTGGCGTCTAATCCACCGCCCGGTCCTGGCAGGGGCACAGGCTCAGCGGGTCCTGGGTTGGTCCGGCCTTGGCTGCCCGACTCCAGGGAGCCCCTGGGCTCTCCATTGCCCGCCCCCCTCTGTCCCCGGCAGCCACCAAAGCCCGGCTGGCACCGTCTCTGGCAACCGCATTAGTTCGGAGCTTGTGTCTCCGATTCTCGGAAAGGAGCAGGGAGGGGCGGCCCTGGGGACAGTCACCAGATCCGGGAACCCCACGGCCACGGCCTGGGTCTCGTATTTACAGGGTTTGCGTCCTGCCCGTTGGCAGAGCTCAGAGTCCATCCCTTCCCTGGTGGCCCAGTGTCCATCCAGCAGGGCCCTGGGTCTCCTGCCATTCACTCTCTAGTGACCGGCAGGCTGGAGAGATGGTACGAGGGTAGGTGCTGGCCTTGCACGCCGCCACCCCGGGTTTGATCCCCAGCACCCTGTACGGTTCCCCAAGCACCACCAGGAGTAAGCTCTGAGCACAGAGCCAGGAGTCACCCCTGAGCACAGCTGGGAGTGGAGCAAAAAAAGAAAAAGAACAAAAATCCCAACCCAGGGGCTGGAGTGATAGCACAGCGGGTAGGATGTTTGCCTTGCACGTGGCCGACCCAGGTTCAATTCCCAGCATCCCATGTGGTCCCCTGAGTACCACCGGGGTAATTTCTGAGTACAGAGCCAGGAGTAACCCCTGTGCATCGCTGGGCGTGACCCCCCCCCCAAAAAAAATCCCAACCCAGCAAACAGAGCCCAGGGCCGGGGGCCCAGACATAGGCTCTGGCACCACGTGCTTCCGAGGCCAGAAACCACATCTGCAACTGGGACACGGTGGTATGTACTGTCGCAGTCCCCAAACAGGCCTGGGCTCCAGGGAAGCTGCTAGTAGCAGGACCCTGGGTGACAGCGTCCCTGAAAAGCCACAGCCCCCACCCCGTCCCACCCCTACCGCTCCCCAAAAACCCCCACCCTGGGCTGAAGAGATAGTCCAGCGGGGAGGGCATTTGCCTTGAACGTGGCCCACCCGTGTTCCATCCCCAGCATCCCACATGGTCCCCCGAGCACCACCAGGAGTGATCCCTGAGCATCGCGAGGTGTGACACATGAAGAAAAAAAACGCTCCCCAAAATCTCCACCTCACCCCTGCCCAGTGCTCTCCAAGTGTTCGGCTGCCGGTTCCCAGGTCGAGGAAAGGGGACAGAGGAGAGGGGATTGACAGCCGGAGTCCCCAGAGGCCCAGCGACAGTGACTGGGACCAGCACAGCCCCTCGCCCGGAGTCCCTGCGTGGGACAGCAAAGGGGAGACCCTGAAAGCCCCCATCCCGTGGGCGTCATCAGGGCACCCGAAGGCTACAGGTAGGTGCAGCCCTGGGGCTGGACCAGGACCCAGCAGGAAGTTTCCAGAAGCAGTCCGAAGGGCTAGGAGGGGATGTGTCTGGCGGGGGCGAGGCACTGGGTTGGATCCCTGGCACGTAATGGAGCTACGGTGGGCGCTGATGTCACGCGGAGACCCATGTGATCCCCCAACAGGGTCACAGACCAGAGGAACACACCCACTGGCGTCCCAGCTTCCTGCAGAAGGGGAGGGGGGAGGGGCGTCCCCACCCCACAGCAGCTCCTGCATTCGGAACCCCCCCATGCCACTCAGGCCCACCCAGAGCCCCCCAGCTCTCCCTGCTCCTCCCTGCAGGGGTGGGGCTCTGGGCCCCCTGAGATGGAGACAGGTGCCCTCCCAGCTGCACACGTTCCTGCTCCCACCCCTGACCCCGACCCCCTGGGGGTGGGTCCTACCTACTTTGCCCTGAAGTCCTGATTCAGCCTTTCCATTCATTCACTGGGGGGGGACATGCAGGGGGGTCCCTCTGTGACCCTGGCAGCAGGACCACGGGGGACTCTCAGTGTGGCCAGATGGGACCCTTCTGGGTCCGGCCTCCAGGCCCCCGGGAAGCCCCTGCCCTGCTCTTCAGGCGTCTGGACCCCATAAGCCTCTGGGGGTTCACCCCAGAGAACCCCCCGCTGGGCAGCTACAGCTCCAGGGTGCCAGAGTCCCGGGGTCTCCTGGGCTGAACAGGGAGGGGCAAGGGAAAGTGAAGGCGTCATGTGCACACCATGCTCACACACTCACACACACATGTCCACATACATGCTCGCACACATGTGTAGACACATGCTTGCACACACCTGCAGACACATGATCACACACGTGTGCAGACATGCACGCGTGCACATATGGGCGGACCAGGCACACTTACGCATGCAGACACACGCTCACCCACGCACTTGCCCTACAGAATGTGGGTCTGATGAGGCTCCCGCTGCCCCCCGCGTCGGACCCAGAGGGAAGCACCTACGTCAGCTCCCCCCGCTGCCCCCGCTGGGACCGTCATGGAGGAGTCAGGTGACAGCTAACGGCGGAGCGGTGAGGCACGGAGGGCTGCAGCAGCTGCTTTGCATCACGGGACCCTGGTTCCGTCCCACACAGTGCAGGAAGGCTTGGAAACGCCCCAGGTTAAAGAAGCTGGACGGAAACGACCTCACTTGTCAGGCTCCAGAACCGGATCTGGGGACGGGTGGGAGAATGTCCTGATGTCTCAATGATACTGCTTAAAACTGGGCCCAGAGGGGCTGGAGCGACAGCACAGCGGGGAGGGCGTTTGCCTTGCACGCAGCCGACCCGGGTTCGATCCCCGGCATCCCGTAGGGTCCCCCGAGCACCGCCAGGAGTGATTCCTTAGTGCAGAGCCGGGAGGAACCCCTGAGCATCACCGGGTGTAGCCTCAAAAACAAACCAAAAAAGGAGCCTGGCTGGTTCCGAGGCAGAGACTATTCCCAGAGGGAAATGATGGTGATGGGGACGGATGATGACGAGCGTGAAGAAAAACGCCCCCGCACCCTCGGGCTCTCGCAGGAGTTTGATTCCCACGTGGAGCCTTTGGGGAAGCTCAGAGCACCTCCTGGAATTCACTTGGGGTCACTGTCATTTTAGCCCTGGCCTTCTCCCACTTCCTGCTTCTTCCGTGTTTGGCCAATCTGACTCCAGACTCCCCTCCTGGGCGTCCCTGGCACTGATGACAAATCTGGGACCCAGCGGCCGCCGCGCCCCTGGGGTCAGCTGCCTGGACCCCTCCCCCCAGTTCTGCACCAACCCCATTGTTCCCTGACCCTGGAAACTCCCCACAGCTTCAGAGAAGTCGAACCTAACTGTTTGTTCACCAGGAAATGCCACATCTTAGGCGTGCCAGAAAAACAAGGCGCCTCCCTCACCCCCTCTTTTCTTTTCCTTTCTTTCTTTCTTCTTTTATTTATTTATTTTTAAAACAAAGTTAACAACCCCCCACCCC